GCTGAGGTGGGAGAATCGCTGAGGTGGGAGAATCGCCGGAGCCCAAGAGCTCATGGCTGCAGTGAGGCACGATTTTACCACTGCACTCCAGCCTGGTTGACAGAGTGAGACCCTGTCAAAAAGAAAGAAAGAAAATGAGACATGAGACTAACTGAGGCTATGGGAGTAAAATGTGGAGCGTGATACACATCCACATGCAGTATACGGAATGTGTTCAATATACAGAAGGTACTTGCTATCATTAGAGTTTATTTCCTTGGAATAATGATGATGATGATATGAAGAAGTCTTACGTTTATATAGCTCTTCAACATTTACAGAGGACTTCTAATTATCCTCAAGAGAGTGGCATGCATTTAAGGAGTTGGTCCTGGAGAAACAGGCCTTGGCTTCCTTACAGGCAATTGATTTTTTTGTTTCAAGAAAGATAAGTCATTTCTTACTCCTTACTAACACTGGTGCTTCCGTTGTGTGCCACTAAACAGAGGCATGGTCTTGGTACAAAGCCCTGGGGAGAGCACAGCTATCTCCTCTTGGAACCAATGCACCCACCTGACCAAGACCAGAGATTCCAAGAGAGGCAATGGTATGGAGGCCCCCCTGGGACATACTGTCCCAGACAAGGAGGGGCTGATGCGTATCCCTAAAATGGAAGAGCTTTCCCATGAACCCTAGTTCCTTATTCCTGGACCTTAAACAGTTTTCCATTTCATTGCTGTCATTTGGTCTTCTGTAGTGGGTTGAAAGGTCTCCTCCTCCCCAGCAGAAAGCACACCCACTAGGAATCTGTGACTGTCATTTTATTTGGAAAAAGAGTCTTTTCAGATGTAATTAAGAATCTCAAGATGAGATCTTCCTGAATTATTCACGTTGACCCTAAATCCCATGACAAGTGTCGGTATAAGAAATAGAAGAAAAGAAGATAGGAGCACACAGAGAAGAGGGCCATGTGAAGATGAAGGCAAAGATGGGAGTGAGGCTGCCACAAGCCAAGGGATGCCTGAAGCCACCAGAACCAGACGAGCAACGACGAAATTTTTCCCTAGAACCTTCGGAGAGAGAACATGACCCTGCTGAAACTTTGATTTTTGGAGTTCTAGCTTCTAGAACTTCAAGAATAAATTTCTGTTGTTTTAGCCACATAGTTTGTAGCAATTTGTTACAGCAGCCCTACCAAACTAATATACCTTTTCTCTCTCTCTCTAACACACACACACACACACACACACACACACACACTTCCACCTTTAAAAAAAGGAAGAAGATGAAAACAACGTTAAAGGGGAGAAATACTGAATTATTCATATGCCCAAAAAAGGTAACATCTCCCCTACTTGAGGGCGAGACCCCTGGAAGGAATTTCTCCCTCCCTACTCTCTTTCTCTGCTCCCTCTAAAAGGTTGGAGAAAGGCTGGCAGGTTTATTCAGCTGTTTTACATGCGTCCCCCATCTGTATTCCCTTCAAACTCATCCATTTATCTCAATCACAGAAGGGACTTGCCGAGCAAAGCCTGACATTTTTCAGTTCTTGGGTCTGTGCCTGGAATCAACAGCCCTCACCAGGAAGGCGGAATGAACTCCCGGGATGTCAGTGCAGAAGCCCTTGGGCTGCCTGGCTGTGGCTTCCCTTCCCTCCCCTGGAGCCACTGCAGGGTGATGCCAGGCTCCACGTGAGCAGATGAGTGCTCACTGAGCAGGATCATAAATCCTGCCTAAGCAGCCCTGGTGGCTTCAGGAGAGTCAACACCAGAATGGTCCCCTTCACTCAGGATGGCCAACCTTTAAGAAAGGTTACATGGATTTAAGGTGCAGCTTTGTGTCTGTTTGCTGGCCAAAATTTTAGTTTACCCAAAGCCCACAAGACTTCTGAAAGCTCCCTTATCCATCCATGGGTCCAGGGTTTCCGTGATGGAGAATATGACCCCAGTGTAGCTGACATCACCGGTTCATCAAATGAGCTAGACTTGGTGCAGGGCAAGCAGAAAAAACAAACAAACAAACAAACAAAAAAACTGATGCTCCTCGTCATTACCTCAACTCACTGACATATATATCTATCCAATTAACAGCTTTCCTGACCAGGTTTAGGACTTAATAAGCAGTCTCATTTTTTTTTTTTAGGTTTTAAAAAAAAGTCTAGTTTAATCTAATATGAAAGCTCTAAGGTCTCCCATTTAAAACTTCTTGCCCTCGTCCAGCGTTGACCTGCATTAGTCTTGGAAACCCACACTGGGGGAGATAGCAGAGCCATCTGCTTCTTCAGGATTTGTCTCCCACCCTATACTCATCTCCCACTAGGCTGACTTGGTCTCCATGGCGAGGTAGAGGAAGAGTGGGGAGACAATGTGCAGGAAGGGGAGACAGTGCCCAAATGCTAGCTCTGATTATGGTAAGTTCTGTGAAAATGTCCCTCTGGGGAACCCCCTGGGAGTCCCCTGCCCACTGCATGGCTCACGGGTGCAGTGGTGCAGGTGATGCCCCCTGCATGGTTCATGGGTGCAATCGTGCAGGTGATGCCCCATGGACCTGCCATTTTGATTGCTCCTCCCAGTTTCTACTTTTGGAGATCCACCCTTTCACAGACTCTTCATTTGTGGTCACTTCCAGCTGCAGGTGGACCTGTTGGGAGAGACCCTTTCAAGACAGCTCAAGCCTCATGACCTTCTGCAGCATCCGCTCTGGTCCATGGTGAGCACGCATTCACCCCTCTGAACTCTGGGAAAGCAGGCTGCTCACACTTTGTTCTCCCACCCTACACCCAAGGGGGCCTCAGGTCAGACTTTTGTTTTCAGAATGCTACAGACAGGCTGAGATCAGGCACTCTCTCTCTCTCTGGGTCCTCCAGACTCCAGGGGCCACATCATGTTCTGCAAGTATTTCCCTAAAAGCCCCCTCACCTGACTTCAGGAACACCCATCATTTTCGTAACAGGGATGAGGGAACACCCGGCCCTCCAGACCATCAGGAATCCTGCCTTGCACCTGCTTCTTGATCACTCTCATCCCAGGTGCAGAGCCTGTCGGCAGCCCTGGGCTTGAGGTCACACATTTGGTTTAGGGGACCCAATAGGCAGTCCTTCGTAGACGGTGCAGCGCCTTTTGTAGAGTGCGGATGCATTTGCCGCCTCTGAATCTCTTCTTTGGGGCATCAGCAGAGGACTCACTGACTATACCTTCAGAATACTCTTATTCCCCCAGTCTTCCCTGTGGTCATTCTACATCCTGTTTAACCCTCACTGCCTGGTGTCCATGTGTTCTCCGTTAGATCATAAGCTCCCCCATGGAATAACTGATGAACTCCAGTCCTAAGACAGTCTGGAGAAGCTACAAGTTCTGTCAGTCAATGTCACTAGTGTCTCTGTCCCTCTGGGCATGGTGACTCTCACCTGTAATCTCAGCTACTCAGGAGGCTGGGGCAGGAGGATTGTTTGAGCCTGAGAGTTCAAAACCAGCCTGGGCAACATGGCGAGACTCCGTATTGTCTCTGTCTGCCCTGGCTCCTGATGACTTCTCCGGAGAGAGGGCTGAGATGGGGTTAGAGAGAGGAACGAGAGCAAGGTGCCTGTGGGCACCTCCGTTTCAGGGAGGTTCCTCTCCACCTGCAATGCAGGGCCGTGGGTGCTTTTCAAGTGCATACAAGAAGACTTGGAGGCCACCCCGGAGAGTGCTTCCTTGGCTGAACCCCGTCTAGTCTGCATGAGGGAAGGCAGATTTCTCCTGATAACAATACTTTGACCCAAATCTCTGCCAAACAATGACCTGGGGCTATGATGCTACGTCTAGTCAGATTCCCCTTCAGTATGAACGGTACCATGTTCCAATCATTCCTTCTGCAGTCGCAACAGAGGAGCATTGTGTTCGTCATCCCGTTGGAGACAAGTGGGAAGTCACCTGGGGAGGAGGGAGAAGGTGAGAGGGCAGGAGTTCGAGGCAGAGGAAGGGGCAGGAGCCCATTTTGGGAACCACAAGTGGTAACGCTTGGCTGATTGTAGCGTGCATGGGAGCGTTCGGGAGAAGGGGCATTGGAGAAAGCTGAGGCTGGGGGAATAAGCAAGAAACCAATTATGTGGGGCCTTAGTGGTCATGCCAGGGATTCTCAGTTTTGTTCTAAAGGCAATGGGAATATATTAGCAATGGGAATATATTCAGATATATTAGGAATTTTAAACAGGGATGACATGAGCAGCTTTATGTTTTAGAATGAGTACTCTGCCCCATGAAGCGTTGGTGCCTCCCTGGAGGCAGGGAGGCCAGGTAGGAGGATGTGGCAGAAGACCAGGGCGTGGTCATGAGGCAGTGAGATTAAGAAAGTGGGATGCCTTGGAGAGAGAGCCAGGAGGTGAGGTCGACAGGGTGCGATGTTGGGTAGTAGGAGGTAGGAGAGAGAGGAGCCTGGCTTGGGGAAATGGGTGGATGGTGGTGGCATTCCTTGGGGTGGGGAACACAGCATGGGCACATGGTATGTGCGGAGGTGCATGGTATGATCTGGTTCCTGTTGGGGTTGCTAAGAATGGTCTGGGCCCCCACTGCACTGGGTAGCCCTCTGTCCCTCCCCTGTCCTAATTTCACTAGGGAATAGCACAGTTGTAGAATAATTCTCAGGAGTGGCTTGTTCCTCCTTCCTCAGCTAGAGTCCAATGGATACACCCACCTCAAGACCAGATTGTTGTACTGTTGCACGGGGACTCTATCTGGGAATGCTCTTCGGGTAAGACAGCTCCTGCAAGGTGTGGTGTCTATACACGTTGGAATAAAAAGTAACTTTGAGGTCTATATATTGGATGTTCCACCCTGATTTAGCTCCATTTGGTCTACCATTTGGGGAAATTGGGCCCAATCAAAGGTTTAATTTTATCAGACGCACAAAGCTCTTATTTAGCTTTTTCTTTGCTACCTTTGCTTATTCAGCACACTCAAAGTTTAAAAACTTAATAGACTGAAGAAAAATCACCTATAGCAGGGGCTGGCTAAATATCAATCCTGTTTTCTCTTCCAGGCACACTGGGAGATTCCATTTCCCAAATTCCATTGTACTTAGGCTGGGGCCAGATGACTGGACTTTCGCCAGTGGAATGTGGCGGAAGAGATGCAAGCTGCTTCTGGGCCTGGCATGAAAGCCTGAACATGCTCCCTCTTCCCCTTCTGTGACAACATGGAAATTCACGTGTTTAAGATGGTGGCAGCATACGATGGAAGGAGCTTAGATTCCTGAGTCACCTCCTGGAAGAGAGCCACCAAGCTGCTTTCCATGTGATTTGAGTAAGGAATAGGCCTGTATTGTATCAAGCCACTGAGATTTGGGGGGTTGTTGTTGCAGTTATTTATCCTAATGTACTACTACAGCAGTATATCAAGGTGTTCTATGGCTGGAAGACCTCTCTTCTGCTGATTTTCTATATTAAAACTTGCTTGCTGGGTCATGGGGTGATGAGAAGACAGACAGGACATCATACAACTTCTTTAGCTAAGCTCAGCCTCTCATTGTACTACTTTGAAAACAGAATGCACATATTTTAATGCGTGTATGCACACAGACATATTTCTAAATCTTGAAGTATGCATTGGCTGACAAGCACAAGCTTTGAAGGAATTCATAGATACTAGATAGACCACAGTCGAGAAAAACAGAGTTCAAAACGTCCAGTGCTTCCAGAGAGGATTTTTTTTTTTTTTTTCAGAATTGGAAGTGTAATGACGACCCCTCATGGGCACACCCTCAGACCAACCCTCATCTCAGTACTTCTCTTTTGGAGGGAGCGACTTCTGTTGTACCTTAAACATTCACCCTGTCACCATCATCATGGGGACAGCTTGGCATATCTTTCCCTCCCTGCTCAAGAGTCAGCACGTAGGCAGTGGGGACTCAAGGTTAGGATGACCAGAGACGAAAGCGAGGAATCAGAACCATTGTGTATGTAAACGGAAGACTGAAGTTACAATGCTTGACTATTTTTCTCTTCTCTAAGGGAGGGAAGTTAATTTTGTCCCCACTGAAGGGTTTTTTCATGATGTATCCTCAGCAGAGTGAAGGATGGGGAACCCGTTTCTATGAAGGGCCACTGAAACCATAGGCAGAAAAAAAAAATCACCATGTAAGATTTCTTTTCGAGGCAGAGTCTCACTCTGTTGCCCAGGCTGAAATGCAGTAGTGTGATCTCGGCTCACTGCAGCCTCCACCTCCCGGGTTCAAGCGATTCTTGTGCCTCAACCTCCCAAGTAGCTGAGATTACAGGTGTGCACCATCATGCCCGGCTGATTTTTTTGTAGTTTTTTTTTTTTTTTGAGACGGAGTCTCGCTGTGTCTCCTAGGCTGGAGTGCAGTGGCGTGATCTCGGCTCACTGCCAAGCTCCGCCTCCCGGGTTCACGCCATTCTCCCGCCTCAGCCTCCCAAGTAGCTGAGACTACAGACGCCTGGCTAGTTTTTTGTATTTTTAGAAGAGACGGGGTTTCACCATGTTAGCCAGGATAGTCTCGATCTCCTGACCTCGTGATCCACCCATCTCGGCCTCCCAAAGTGCTGGGATTACAGGCTTGAGCCACCGCGCCCGGCCTTTTTTGTAGTTTTAGTGGAAATGGGATTTTGCCATGTTGACCAGACTGGTCTCGAACTTCTGATCTCAAGTGATCCACCTGCCTTAGCCTCCCAAAATGTTGGGATTACAGGCATGAGCAACTGCACCTGACCACAGTATAAGATTTTTTAAAAAATTATTCACATCCCAAAATAAATTATAAAAGCTCATTATTTCTAGTTCATAGCCATGTAAGAGAAATAGATGTGGACCTGTTGGTATAGAGAAAGGGAGTGGTAGCTGGCCAGGCCGAGACAGACATGGTAAAGAATTGGGAAATGAAGGCAAGAAAAGAGCCCCTCTCTCTGTCTCCCTCCCTCTTTCTCCCTCAATTTCTTTGTTTCAATCTCTCTTCCGCTCTCTCTCTCTCTATGCACGTGCCCTAAAGCTATAACTCATATTTTAAAATGAGAAAATGTTATCTGAAACGTCTCTAAAATGCTTTACCTTCTCCCCAAGATCTGGAAACCACAGGTGCTTTGGAAAGTTTCTCTTTTTCTCATTTTCTGATAAAAAATTCAGGTTAAAAACACCCAGCTCCAGGTTTTTTTGTCGACTCGTGTATCTATAAATGAGCTGTGGTACTCCTCATTTCTAAGTATAAAGTCGTTCTCTCTTTTTCTGGTTTTAAAAAACTTTTCGAGCTAAAATCATAGATTTGAGATTTAAATTTTGTGTGTTGTTACTAGAAAAGCCACTGAAACATGTGGATTTATGCTCTGTATGCCAGATGGGAGGTAGTTGGAGCCAGAGCTGACTCATGGTTTGGAAGCTACATATTTCCAGTTTGGGGTTGTGTTGTTTTGCTTTTGTTTTTAAACCCAGCATCTTTCAATAGAGCTTGGGAGAGGAATTAGCAGAAGAGGATTCCAATCCGTTAACCATTTGGGTGATCTGGATCCCTGAATTTTACAGCTCTGGACTGAATCTCCAAGTGGTCACCTAGTTCTTGCATTCAAAGCTTCTTGGACACTGACTGACCCTCACTGGGGCAGAGCCGCCCTAATTTGTAGGGTATGTTTGCTGGCTTGCTGTTGCTCACTGTCCTTTTTAGGCAATGGCCCCTCTGTCGCTTGACAGCTTGTGATCACCTGCAGAGGATGGGAAGCGACAGCTGAGCCTTGCATTGAAGACATAAGCTTCTGTAAAAGGTTTGGGGAAGCAAATTAAATGCTGCCTGAATTTAGATGACTTATGGATTCAAACCCTACTTTTATTAGATTATTTGTGGGTTGAAATTCTAAAGTTAATTCAATCAAACGTCTAGTAAAAATATTACAAAATCAGCTACATGAGTCTGACATCACTGAAATGAGACCCCCTCACATAATTTGATTTTCTTTTCTCCTTACGGTGTCACTGTAGAAATTTTTGCCCTACATAGTGGGGAAGCTGGGGCCATATGCCGTCCAACATAACAACTGAGTTTAAACCAGAATCCCTCACCAGCTTCAGTTTGAATGTACTCAAATATTAGGCATTACATGGAAATAATACATACTTGGTATTTAGAGACAGAGTCTCACTCTGTAGCCCAGGCTGGAGAATAGTGGTGCAGTCATAGCTCACTGCAGCTTCGAACTCCAGGGCTGAAGTGATTCTCTCGCCTCAGCCTCCCAAAGTGCTGTGATTACAGACGTGAGCCACTATAGTCCACGGCACTTGGTATATTCATACCTGTAAATATCAGAACAAACAAGTATCCTTGTAAATAAGAAGCTGACATCTTGAGTTGGTTTTATTCTGAAAGTGCATATTATACATTTCCTCCACCATTGTTGAAAAAAACTGAATGTTCATAATTGTCCTGTTTGTTGCCTATGACTAATATGACTTACAACAAGATGCAGGGTCAGGACAAAATGAGAAGCCAAAGAATCATACTCTAGAGGTGGTTCGTGTGTATTCTGGGGCATTTATACTCTGCAAAAAAATGATGTTCCTGTACTTGCAGTGTGTATCCATAGATCATAGTTGAAATTCTACACCGAATGAACTTATCAGCTGCCTTTTCTCATCGCGTTCATTGCCTCTGACAGATCTATCCCCAGCTGGTGTTGACTTCTCCCTACGGTGCGGGGAGATCATTAATCTTGTATGTTCTCTTACTCCAAGGCCTTTTTTCTTCTTTGCTGAGGTTTTAAAACAGATTGTGCCTGTTTCCACAGGCCTTTGAGAGATCTGTCATGTGTCCTCTTTTAAGCAGGTTGTGTAAAAACCAATTACTTGAGTATAGCTGGGGTCATGGGCAGTAATTCTGTTACCAGGGTGGGAGCTCTGATTTTGTCATCCTTCCGTATGTCAAAATCAGAGTGAGGGCACTACCAACAGAAGCATTTATTACTTAGCAACTGAGAGATGCTTTCAAGCCATTCTAATTGGTGATTCTTCTCCAGGGCTGGTGGAGTATCTCCATCTTGCCTCCTGGGCTGCATTGATAAGGAGCTGGATACCTCACCAAATCATGAGTGAGAACTGCCCACAGTGAGTGAGAATGCAATTCCTGAGGGCCTCAGTCACCAGTGCAGACCTCCTTGTAGTTGAACTTGGCAATAGGCAAGTCTCTTGGCTGTGGAGAGAGAAAGGATTGTGTCTGCACAAGCAGAATAGAGAAGTGCAATAGAATGATCTAGTGGAGGCAGGTGTTTAGAGAACTGTCAATACTTGTTGAGTGAAAAGACAGGTGTACAAAACCGGACACTACACCTTAGACTTAATAAGCACTTCCTTCCCAGTAGCTGGTTATTTGTTTGTTTCTCCCCAAATTATTTAGGGAGTCATATGAACTGCCCATTTTATATCATTTGCATTTTCTGTAGCAAGGAACTTATTACTTTAGTATCATTATTTAAAAGTGACAAAGACACACCACTTATTGAATGTTTACACTGCTTTTCCCCCACATTAAAGCTCTTCGTGAGATTAAAAGCAAATGATGACAGAGCGCAGAGACCAAGGCTACATGCTCCCATCAGACTTAATCCTCCATCAAAACATATCTCTTCCACGTTCCTTTTACCTGGAGCCTGAGAAGTGGGAAGTGACCCCCTGGGGCCCACTCCATAATCTCCTTTAAGCTCTCATTCTGAGACTTTTGGTACAGGCACCAAACAGATTGCTTTACCACATTGACAAATCCGTACTGAACCCTTTTCCGTGCTCAGTTGTGACATCTTATTTGGACCCTCTCAGTCACCAACAGTGCTGTTCATTCTCTGATTGAATCCTTTCTTCTTTGGGAGTTGCAAAGCGCTGCAAACTCTTGGCTGTGACCTTGGAATAACAGTCTTGGCTCTCTCCTGGCTGTACCTTCAAGTCACCTGAGTGTACATAATTCTGGTTATATTTGGTCCCAAGACCCTTCTAAACTAATTCTGCCCCCGCTGGTGGGGGGTTTTACCAGGTTCAGTCCAACCCTTTGAAATGGAACAAGACAAAAGGCCCAGTCAATAGGGTGGTTAACAGGAGAATGTTCATGATTTGAAAAAGAGTTTGGTGATACATTGGAAAGAGTCCAATAACGCATATGAAAACACTGGCTTACTGCTGATCTCCATACACTTTTTTTTTTTTTTTTTTTTTTTTTTGAGTCTGAGTCTCACTCTGTTGCCAAGGCTGGAGTGCAGTTGTATGATCTCGGCTCACTGCAACCTCTGCCTTTTGGGTTCGAATGATTCTCTTGCCTCAGCCTCCCAAGTAACTGGGATTACAGGCACCCACCACCATGCCTGGCTAATCTTTGTATTTTTAGTAGAGACAGGATTTCATCATGTTGGCCGGGCTGGTCTCAAACTCCTGACCTCAAGTGATCTGCCTGCCTCAGCCTCCCAAAGTGCTGGGATTACCGGCATAAGCCACCGGGCTTGACCTCCATATACTTTAAAAATACTACTGTTGTTACTGATAAAAGCCATGATAAAAATAAGTAGCTGCTGTGTTTAAAAGTGTTTGTGATTTGACCATTGTGGGGATTTCTGTCTGGGTTGGAGGCACCGAGGCTCCCAGGGAGAGATGGCATTTTCCTCATGATCTCTGAGGAAGCAGTTGAGCCTGTGCAGGTGGTGAGCACTTCTTCTGGGTTTACTAAGCACCTGCTCGGTGCGGGGAAAAGTTTTTATTTTTTATTTTAAGTTCTGGAATACATGTGCAGAATATGCAGGTTTGTTGCATAGGTATACGTGTGCCATGGTGGTTTGCTGCACCTATCAACCCGTCATCTAGATTTTAAGCCCCTCATGCGTTAGCTATTTGTCCTAATGCTTTCCCTTCCCTCCCTTTACCCCCAACCCTTGACAGGCCCCAGCGTGTGACGTTCCCCTCCCTGTGTCCATGTTCAACTCCCACTTATGAGTGAGAATATGAGGTGTTTGGTTTTCTGTTCCTGTGTTAGTTTGCTGAGGATGATGGCTTCCAGCTTCATCCATGTCCCTGCAAGGACGTGAGCTCATTCTTTTTTATGGCCGAGTAGTATTCCATGGTGTATATGTGCCACATTTTCTTTATCCAGTCTATCACTGATGGGCATTTGGGTTGGTTCCAAGTCTTTGCTATTGTGAATAGTGCTGCAATAAACATACATGTGCATGTGTCTTTATAGTAGAATGATTTATAATCTTTGGGTAGATACCCAGTAATGGAATTGCTGGGTCAAATGGTATTTCTGGTTCTAGATCCTTGAGGAATCGCCACACTGTCTTCCACAATGATTGAACTAATTTACACTCCCACCAATAGTGTAAAAGTGTTCCTATTTCTCCACATCCTCTCCAGCATCTGTTGTTTCCAGACTTTAATAAGTGCCATTCTAACTGACATGAGATGGTATCTCATTATGGTATTGATTTGCATTTCTCTAATGACCAATGATGATGAGCTTTTTTTTGTATGTTTGTTGGAGTGTGGGGAAAGTTGTAAGGACTAGGGCTGTAGAGGAGAACCAGACACATAAGGAGCTCACACAGCTTATATCTTAGTGGGTGAAGAAAAGAAGAAGGAAAAAGTACATAAATAAGACATGTTTGGGTAGTCCACTGCCAGGAACCTCCCTGGGGAGAGAGTGCTGATGGGACCCCCTTCATCTCCTGCCTCTCCCCCTTCTAGAAGCCCTCCACCCAGTGTAGCCTCTACTTTTCTACTTTTGTTTGTTTGTTTGTTGTTTTTTTTGAGACAGAGCCTTGCTCTGTTGCCCAGGCTGGAGTACAGTGGCACAATCTCAGCTCACTGCAACCTCTGCCTCCTGGGTTCAAACTATTCTCCTGCCTCAGCCTCCCGAGTAACTGAGATTACAGGCAGGCACCACCACGCCCGGTAGCCTCTATTCTTAAGCATTCCTCACCACTATGCCTGAAAGAAATAGTCAGGCCCCTATCCACAGACTTCTACCAAGGATGTGATCACTTCTGCTCTCAGGGCCTCATCTTCCTCATCTGTAACATGGATGGGTGAGACTTGATCTTAGGATCTTTCCTACCTCTATGATTTTGAGCATATGAAAAACTGAAGTGGGTGGCAGGGGTCAAAGGTAGCTCTCCCCCATTCTGTGCCTAGAAAGATGTGTTTCAAGTGTTGGGGAGGCAGCATTTTTAAGTCAAAGGTCATAGTTCCCCCACCATTTTTTGAACAGTGACTGATATGGGGCTGAGAGCCCAGGTACTAAGAAGTACCTACTTATTATTGGTCTTGCCATCATCTGGACCATCCCTGTTGTCACGGCTACCACACATCAGCACTCCTGTGTGCTGGACACTGTGCACACAGGACACATCATCTCACCTAATCTGTACCATAACCCTGCAAAGGGGGCCAAGTTCCCACTTCAAGTTAAGAAAATGGAGACTGAAGAAGTGAAGGAACTACCAGTAAGTGGCAGAACTGAAATCAAATCCAGGTACAGACGTCCAAGGCACTCTTTCATGTGAGTGTTTTGGATTTTGCTTTTGTGCAAAGCCTTAACCAAAAGGTGTTTATGAATCAGACACCAAAGCAAAATCTCCCCTGGTTGACAGCCATGGGCCTATCTCAAATCTTCCCATCCCATCTCGTCTTTCCTATTTCTGTCTTCTTTCTCTTCGCACCACTGTTCACTCTCTAGTAGCAGCGTGTTGTATATCTGTTTGCCGTCTATCTCTCTGGCTAGAGCATAAAGTACCTAAGGGTGGGGGCTTTGCTTTGTTCCCTGCTGTAATTCCAGCCCCTGGAGCAGCATCCGCTACATCACAGCTGCTCAATAAATACGAGTGAACGACTGAGTGTGAGGAGACAAGGTTGGAGAAAGCAGGAAAAAACTGCAAGACCCGGAAAAGGAAAGGATGGGATGTAAAGAGAGCCAGAAGGAAAGATACAGGAGGCCAGAGGCCAGGAGTCCCTACATGAGGATGGGTGGTGTGCCAGGAGGCAGCTGGTGCCCAAAGGGCGTATAGGCGATGGAGAAGCCCATTGGCACTTTGGTGTGGTCGGCAACACAAGCCTTTTTACCAAATCTCTCAAACATCTTTCCATATACCATGTAACAGGGTATTTTTCTGTGTTTTTTTTTTTCCAGGGAGTTCTATGTCCTCCCCTACGACTGATTGCTGAAGACAGACCTCCCGGCAAGAGCATTTGACCAAATCTTGGTGACCCAGAGAAACACGTGTATCCATCAGGCATTGAGTCACATCAATGAAACGACACTAAGCCGGGCTCAATTCTCCAACCTGGTTTTCTTTACAGTTCACTCTCTCCCTGGGGAAGCACTGAGGACCACAAGAGGCTGGTAACGGAGATGACGTTAATTATAAACGGTGCAGTGTCCCGGTGAACATAAACCACTGGCTCATTCACAGTTATTTCTGAGAAAATAATTATTTTGCTTTTGCTCTAGTCGTTCTTTCACTGAAATCTAATGAGATGATAATGGGTGTGACAGTGTTTGTTAAAGTGCAGAGTTCCATTAAAACGTGGGGAAATGATATTATTGCTGTGAGAGGAAATGGCTGCTTTCTTTTGGCAAGGCTTTGAACATCAAAGTGTTTGTTGGCTGTGAAAGTGAAAAGGGCTTTGTGTGCACCCCGGGGAACAGATTCTGCCCCAGTTACTAAAGAATCCTTTTAAGGATGGAAGCCAGGACAGTCAGGCAGCGCTTCTCTTGGTCTCCAGATGGGGGTGCCACTGAGCCAGACACAGATTCCTCCAAGCTTCTCCCTGGACAGTTCCCTGGGGCCAATGAAGTTTCTGTCTACTGCAACTCGCCCCAAATAGCTTTCTCAAGTGTTGCAGGACACTGGGAAGATGAGATAGGGTAACACTGATGTTATATATGTCTTATCTATGTGTGCTTCCTAGCTCATGAGGTGCTCACATGGTCTAGTGGCCTTTGATGCTATTTTCCTGTACAGTGTGAGAAATATAAAGTCTTGGGAAGGAATATGGGTCATCAAGAAAGAAAGAAAAAATTAGACAAAATACCCTGCCATTAAGTGGATAACCAGTTTCTTTTGTGAAGTATGGTTTTAGTAATGAGTACATTATTTAGATAAAAGCAAGCATTTAAAAAAAGCCCAAAACCATAAAAACAAAAACTCTCTTCAAATTACAATGCCCTTCATTTTCCACAGAAGCTATGTATTTCAAAACATGCCTGCTATGAAAATTCTGCCAAATAAGAATTAGGAAGTGATTAAAGTCTACGGCTTACAGCGTTTTACGTACAGCCTGAATTCTCTGCTCTGCTGCCTCTCCAACCACTTGCTGAAACTTTCTGAACCTGTATCATATTAAGATGGGTCTGAACGTCCACATGATTAACTGGGAGGCCGGGAGGGAGGGAAACTAGATAGTACAATGTGTGAATAATGTAACATAGTACATAGAGAGTGCTCGGTACATGGCTCTGAATTATCATCATGCTTTTATGTGGGATGTGCACGTGGTTTTTTTATTTTTGTTTTTGTTTGACAGAGTCTTGTTCTGTCGCCCAGGCTGGAGTGCAATGGCGCAATCTCTGCTCACTGCAACCTCTGCCTCCCAAGTTCAAGCAGTTCTCCTGCTTCAGCCTCCCAAATAGCTGGATTACAGGCACCCGCTACCACACCCAGCTAATTTTTTGTATTTTTAGTAGATACAGGGTTTCACCATGTTGGCCAGGCTGGTCTCGAACTCTTGACCTCCAGTGATCCACCAGCCTTGGCCTCCCAAAGTGCTGGGATTACACGCGTGAGCCACCGTGCCCGGCTGGAGGTGCGGGTTTTCTATCCAGCACCTGCGGTGAAGTAAAGCCAGTAGGCAACAATAATGACTCTGGGAGAGGGTTGTGGATGGCAAACTGCTGAGCTGTTAATTCTGTCTGCTTCAGGAAAAGGGCAGGCCTGTTAAGAGAATGCCTATAGGATGCCCACCCTACATTACTGGCAGCAAAAAATAGTTTTTGAGCTTTCCCTATGTGTATTAGACATTACAGGGGCCATATGGGGGCATGAGATACTTGTGTAAATAGTGATTTTCTGGTTCTTGAGTTTTACTGAAGCCTCACTTATGCTGGTTGAACCAGATAGGGCTAGATATCTACTCTGAATTTTAGAGTTTTTTTCAAACAAGAGGGTCACTGTTGTAGGTTGGGAGTGTTAAAAAAATATTATTATTATTAAGATTATTATTTGAGACACGGTTTCACTCCTGTTGCCCAGGCTGGAGTGCAATGGCATGATCTTGGCTCACCACAACCTCCACCTCCCAGGCTCAAGCGATTCTCCTGCCTCAGCCTCCCGAGTAGCTGGGATTGCAGGCATTCGCCACCACTCCCGGCTAATTTTGTAATTTTAGTAGAGACAGGGTTTCTCCATGTTGGTCAGGCTGGTCTTAAACTCTCGATCTCAGGTGATCCGCCCACTTCGGCCTCCCAAAGTGCTGGGATTACAGGTGTGAGCCACTGTGCCTGGCCAAAAAAATATTATTTTTATTATTTTATTATCTATTATTTCCTCCCTGCCCCTGAGCAACAAACCATTTTTTCTTAGGCCCCATTTTCTCAACAACTACTGTGTCTGGACATACATTATGTTAAAGCAATGGACTACTTCATGAACCAAATCTCTGGTTAATTTAGTGTGAGAGGATCATCATGCAAACATTCCAAATAAATGCTCTTTATGCTGTGAGAAGTCACAGAATTCTTATTTCTGTATGGCTAGCTCATTGATTCAGCCTCACTGATAAGTCCTGGGGGAAAAAAATACATGTTTTTGCCCCAACTGAACTCTGCCTATCACGCAAGAGTACTGTTTCTACACAAACAAGGAAAGAAAATCCTCAACAGAATAAGTATTCTATGACCTGGTGATAATTAATAATAAAAAAAAATACTATTAAGAAGTTTATACTGGCTGGGAGTTACTGGGTAATTTACTCACTTGGCAATTGTTGGGGATGATTCCACGTTGCCCTGTCAAGTGTTTACTTAGGAGCTCGGCCGGGTGGAGCTGTGTCTTGCTCTCAGTCTCCCTCTGTTGGCTGGAACATGGATCGTTCTCTCTCCGAGGACTGAAGAATAATGACCTGCCTGCACAAATATTCAGCAGGCACATTATGCTCTTCTGGACCCCCCCACCAATGAAAGGCTTATTTGGATTTCAAATTAACAAATTTTTAATGAATGCACTCTTCACTCTTCACCTGCCTAATTTCTCTTTCTAGCACCCATCTGACATATATCCACCTATGCTCCTAGACTTATGAACCCATCATAAGTTGAAAATATCATAAGTCAAAAATGTTTTTAATAAACCTAGCCTACCAAATATTATAGCTTAGCCTAGCCCACCTTCACATGCTTGGAACACCTACACAAGCCTGTAGTTGGGCAAAATTATCTCATACAAAGCCTATTTCATAATAAGGTATTGAATATCAAATGTAATTAATTGAATATTGTACTGAAAGTGAAAAATAATGGTTGTATGTGTACTCAAAGTAAAGTTTCTACTGAATGGGTATGGCTTTTGCAACACTTTAAAGTAAAAAAAAAAAAATTGTAAATGGAACCATCATGATTTGGGGACCATCTGTATTTATTTATTTGCCTTTTGTCTGTCACCCCGATCAGACGGTGAGCTTCATGAGATCAGGAACTTTTGTTTGGTTCACTGCTGTATTTTCGGGGCCTAGAAGAATGCCTGGCACACAGTAGGTGGTTTATGAATGTTGGCTGAATAAATGAATGGGCACCAAGCATATCTAAGAATTGGGTACTATGATAAAAGATTAATAAGACATTGTTCTGGCCTTTTAGAAGTTCGTAATCTAGAATTGGACCAAAAAGCACTATGATTGAAGGAAGAACTGTTGACACTAGCCCTTTATAATCTAGAGGACACTGGCCCTAGGAAATCATTCACACTTATCTTCAATATTTGAAGAGTTGTCTGTGGAAGAAAGATTAGACCAGTTCAGTTTATTTCCAAAGAACTTTCCAATTGGTAGAAGCTACAAGGCAAAAATTTCAGCTTGACAAAAATCTCAGAATTGTCCGAAGTAGTTTTGGATTGCTTTGCACATCATAGAAGTCATTTAATCATAAAAACTCATTTTCCTTAGCCCTTTCCCAGACATACTAAACCAGAGTCTCCAGGAGGAGGTCCCAGTAATCTCTATTTGATAATAAGCTCAGAGGTGATTCGGAGGCAGTTGTCTGCAGACTGTTGTTAGAGAATCAGGGATTGGACTGGGAGACTCAGGTATCAGAGGAGTAGTGGAATTAAATAATCTCAAACCATAGTATTTTATGGTTCCAGCTGAGCGCAGTGGCTCATGCCTGTAATCTCAGCACTTTGGGAGGCTGAGGCAGATGGATCGCATAAGGTCAGCAGTTCGAGACCAGCTTGACCAAAATGGTGAAACCCCATCTCTACTAAAAATACAAAAAATTAGCTGGGCGTGGTGGCACATGCCTGTAGCCCCAGTTATTCGGGAGGCTGAGGTAAGAGAATCCCTTGAACCTTGGAGGCGCACGTTGCAGTGAGCACAGGTTGTGCCATTGCACTCCAGCCTGGGAAACAAGAGCAAAACTTCCAAAATCATGGAACTCTCTTCTTAATAATGGTAATGTTAGTCATTGTGGTCTTTGCTGGGACTGCTACCAAACTAGAAAACCAAATCAAGAAGCTCGGCATGGGAGTCTGGTAGCTGCTTTAAGCAACATGGGGTAAAACTCCATGCATTCTATACCCTGCAGAGGGTAGAAGTGATTGACCTTTGCCGGGCGCGGTGGCTCACGCCTGTAATCCCAGCACTTTGGGAGGCCGAGGCGGGCGGATCACAAGGTCAGGAGATCGAGACCACGGTGAAACCCCGTCTCTACTAAAAATACAAAAAATTAGCCGGGCGCGGTTGTGGGCGCCTGTAGTCCCAGCTACTCGGGAGGCTGAGGCAGGAGAATGGCGTGAACCCGGGAGGCGGAGCTTGCAGTGAGCCGAGATCGCGCCACTGCACTCCAGCCTGGGCGACAGAGCGAGACTCCGTCTCAAAAAAAAAAAAAAACAAAAAAACAAAAAAACAAAACAAAACAAAACAAAAAAAAAAGTGATTGACCTTCAAATATCCACACCCAAATAACCCACCTTACAAATTGATGTATTGTAGTCAAAGTCAAATTTGTAGTGATGATTTCTACATATCTCATTTCTAATTTAGAGCACTTGGAGAGGAAACTGAAATAATGGGTCAACTTCTTTTAAGGAGAATTATCAAATAATGAAGTGTTTGTTGAACTGATATGGTTGG